TTTTTTTGTTATTTGTGTACATCAAGTTAAAGTAAATTAAAGTGAGAAATGAAATAAGATCATCTAAAAAAATCTCTATTTCAAGACCAGAAAAAAAACCATATAAGTGTTGAATGTTCATTTTTGGGTGATTTAACTCTTAGCTGCACTCTCCATACGGCCATGTGCTGGTTTGTTTACTCTGGACCATAAAAGCAGATCAGAATCATCTGCTAAAGCGGTCTTTTAGCTCACTTCTGCTTATTGAGGCCATTATCCGTTCTCTAATGAGGCCATTAGCAAAACCCTTACCCTCTAGATCTGCGTGTTATTACGGTCATTCTCCACTGAGACGTGTGATGGTAAAGTCTGTTTATTCCTCAGCCGACAGAGATGGAGGTGGAGACGCAGCTTCACCTGTACGGTCACACGGCAGAGGTCACAGGCCTGTTCGTCTGTAAACCCTTCAGCATCCTCATCAGTGTCAGTCGAGATGGGACCTGCATCCTGTGGGACCTCAACAGGTCTGTGTTTCTGACATCACTGGAGTCATTTCATATCCTACATTTCTGCCTTTACCAGACACTTTTATTCAGAGCAACTTACAGAAGAGGAACAAAGGCAATTTATCCAACAGTATTTGTAATAAACAATGCCAGGTTAATTAGACAACTAGATTAGGATGCATTTTAAGATATATCAAAGGAATATAGATACAGAAAAGACATTAAAGTTGACTTGAGTTTCAAATAAAGTATAGTGAAAAAATTTGGTGCAGAAACAATTTTTGCTAGTAAATTTCAGAAAGAAAGTCAAGGAGCCTATTGAATTAAACCTGAAATTAAGTAGGAAAACAGAAATAGTGTTTTCTTGTAAAAAGTGCTCTAATAATCTAATTGACACTTTCAGAAAATATTTTTTATAGTGTAGATAAGGCATAATAAAGCCTATTTTATGACACATATTGCCCTCAAATTCTCATTAATGTACAAAGTTATTATTCTATATAAAAGTATATATTTTAATGTATTTTTAAATATTATTGGAGTGAATCTACTTATGCATCATACATAAACTGTCAATATTATTTTTGGAATTTTGCAAGAAAATACTATTTCATACTTTGTTACCTGCCATTTCTTTGTAATTATTTATTTATGCAACTTACTAGTGATTTATGATTGAAAGTTGTTTCAACATAAATGCGACACAACTTTTTTCAGTGTATTTGAAGTACTTTTACATCATAGTAGTAGTAAATCACTTTAATACAGTATTTTCTTTGTTGTGTCGCAGTAATGAGAAAATGAAGATTGTGTTGTTTGTGTGTTAGGTTGTGTTACGTACAGAGTCTCACAGGTCATAAGAGTCCAGTGAACGCAGTGTCAGCCAGTGAGACGACAGGAGACATCGCCACAGTGTGTGATTCAGGTGAGCTGTGTTTCCATGTATAAATCGTTATTAAGTTTTCAATTACAGTGTAAACCAGCTGCTAAAGTTGGTGAAAATATTGCAACTGTATAGAATAAATGTCATAATTTCATGTTCTCTTCGTGTGTGCAGTGGGTGGAGGAAGTGATCTGAGGCTGTGGACGATCAACGGAGATTTGATTGGTCACGTTCACTGTCGAGAGATCATCTGTTCGGTGGCGTTCTCCAATCAGCCGGAGGGAGTGTCGGTCAACGTGATCGCTGGCGGACTGGAGAACGGTGTGGTCAGGTAAAACATGAAACCACAAACTCTACACTGTTTAGGGAAAAATACTGATTTACTGATGAACTTGTGCTCTACTTTTGAAGAAACAATATTTGTTTGATTATTTTTTCTTGTAGTAACTTTGGAAACAAGGTTGAATAGTTGAGTTTGACAAAGCATAACAAATGCACAACTATTTGTGTCAAAATTCAATGCATGTAGAATGGCTTCCAAAAAAAAAAACGATTGGTTACAAACAGTGGTTACAAATAAAGTAGAGAGAGATTTTTTTTAACTCATATATATATATATATATATATATATATATATATGTATATATATATATTCTCATCAGTGCTTTCCTACCTTATTCTCCTTATTCTCTATCATCATATTTCAGGTTGTGGAGCACATGGGACCTGAAGCCAGTCAGAGAGATCACCTTCCCAAAATCCAACAGGCCTATCATAAGGTACACACTTTTACCTCTTATATGACGTCACACAGATTTATTCTGATATCTGCATTAGAAAGGTTACATGCACCCAGCACCCATATACTACCAGTCAAGGGTTTGGAATACTTGTGAGTTTTTACTGTTTTTGAAAGAAGTCTCTTCTCCTCACCAATGTTCCATTTCTTTAAATAATAATACAGTAAAAATTTTGAAGTATCATTACAGTTTAAAATAACTTGACTTTTATTGTAATATATGTTAAAATGTAATTGCAATTGAATTTTCAGCATCATCACTGCAGTCTTAAGCGTCACATGATCCTTCAGAAATCTTCATATTTTTATGGAAAATAAAATGTTTATAAAAACCATGATGCATAACCATTCAAAAGTTTGGGGTTAAAAAAATTTTTATACATTCAGGAAGGACGCATTAAATTTATATTTTTCTTTTATGCCAAAAATCATTAGGATATTAAGTAAAGATCATGTTCCATGAAGATATTTTGTAAATTTCCTACCGTAAATATATCAAAACTTAATTTGATTAGTAATATGCATTGCTAAGAACTTAATTTGGACAACTTTAAAGATGATTTTCTCAATATTTCGATTTTTTAGCACCCTCAGATTCCAGATTTTCGAATAGTTGTATCTCGGCCAAATATTGTCCTATCCTGACAAACCATACATCAATGGAAAGCTCATTTATTCAGCTTGCAGATGATGCATAAAGCTCAATTTTGAAAAATTTACACTTAAGACTGGTTTTGTGGTCTAGGGTCACATATGGTATTTTCTTCGTTGTGTCGCAGTAATGATAAAATAAAGAAGGTTTCTTTTGTGTTAGGTTGTGTTACGTTGAGAGTCTCACAGGTCACAAGAGTCCAGTGAACGGCGTGTCAGCCAGTGAGACGACAGGTGATATCGCCACAGTGTGTGATTCAGGTGTGCTGCTTTTCCTGTGACTGTATAAATCATTGTTTTATTGTTGTTAAGTTCTCAATTACAGTGTAAACCAGTTGGTAAAAAATATTTGCAAATATTAATTTGTATAGAATAATTGTAATCATTTCATGTTCTCTTCGTGTGTGTGTGTGTGGTGGAGGAGTGGAGGAAGTGATCTGAGGCTGTGGACGATCAACGGAGATTTGATTGGTCACGTTCACTGTCGAGAGATCGGTGGCGTTGTGGCGTTCTCCAATCAGCCGGAGGGAGTGTCGGTCAACGTGATCGCTGGCGGACTGGAGAACGGTGTGGTCAGGTAAAACATGAAAGCAATAACTCTACACTGTCTGGGACCAAATACTGATTCACTGATGAAACTGTTTGTTTAATTATTTTTCTTACAGTGACTTTTAAAACAAGTTTCAATAGTTGACTTTGACGATGCATAACAACTGCACAACTATTTGTGTAACAAAAAAAATGGAATGAGATTATGTACTCGTCTTCACGCTATTCAAAAGTCCAAGTGATGTAACTCTTATAAAATGGGTTAGAGAGATTTTTTTTATCTCATATATATATATATATATATATATATATATATATATGTATATATATATATTCTCATCAGTGCTTTCCTACCTTATTCTCCTTATTCTCTATCATCATATTTCAGGTTGTGGAGCACATGGGACCTGAAGCCAGTCAGAGAGATCACCTTCCCAAAATCCAACAGGCCTATCATAAGGTACACACTTTTACCTCTTATATGACGTCACACAGATTTATTCTGATATCTGCATTAGAAAGGTTACATGCACCCAGCACCCATATACTACCAGTCAAGGGTTTGGAATACTTGTGAGTTTTTACTGTTTTTGAAAGAAGTCTCTTCTCCTCACCAATGTTCCATTTCTTTAAATAATAATACAGTAAAAATTTTGAAGTATCATTACAGTTTAAAATAACTTGACTTTTATTGTAATATATGTTAAAATGTAATTGCAATTGAATTTTCAGCATCATCACTGCAGTCTTAAGCGTCACATGATCCTTCAGAAATCTTCATATTTTTATGGAAAATAAAATGTTTATAAAAACCATGATGCATAACCATTCAAAAGTTTGGGGTTAAAAAAATTTTTATACATTCAGGAAGGACGCATTAAATTTATCAAAAGTGACAGGAAAGACATTTCTAATGTTACAGAAGATTCTTTTGAACTTTCTATTAATCAAAGAGTCCTGAAAAATACAATGTATCACAGTTTCCACAGAAATATGAAGCAGCACGACTGTTTTCAGCATTGATAATAATCAGAAATATTTCTTGAGCAGCAAATCAGCATATTAGAATGATTTCTGAAGATCATGTGACACTGAAGACTGGAGGAATGATGCTGAAAATACAGCTGCGCATCACAGAAATAAATTACATTTTAACAGATATTCACACTGAAAACAGCTATTTTAAATTGTAATAATATTACACATTTTTACTGTGTTTTTGATCAAATAAATGCGTCCTTGATGTGCAGAAGAGACTTAAATCTTAATGCCCGGTAGTGTAAGTGTCATGTGATTAATGACGTTTCCTTCTGTATCCTCTCTCAGTCTCACGTTCTCGTGTGACGGTCATCACCTCTACACGGCTAACAGCGAGGGCACGGTGATCGCGTGGTGCCGTCGAGACCAGCAGCGCTTGAAGCTGCCCATGTTTTACTCGTTCCTCAGCAGCTACGCTGCAGGCTGACCCTGCGTCATGCCGGCTCGTTACCCACACAGGACGGACGCTGAGAGCAACCCCGCCGACCCAGGAAGAGGAGGAGCCAGCATGCACAAAGCCCCGCCCACAATCATCACAGAACCCGCCCCCTGAAACACCATAGGAACGGATGCCACTTGTACCATAAAGAGCAGGGGCTTGTGAGGCAGCGCAAACGCAGGCCTTTCCCCGCATCATTTCTTCTCGTCTGTTTTGACTGATTCATCTAGTATTTGTGTTGTTTGATTATGAAAGCTGCTACAATCTGGTCTGCCCAGACTGAATGTTTGAAGGCCTTTCCTTCTTTTTGTCCCTCGTCTCGCCCACCCGTCACCATCCTGAGAATATCCTGCTTTCGAAGCCAAACCAGACTGCAGTCATCTGAACACTACCGACCGTCTGCGCTCCTGCAGAAACGGCATTCATGATCCACGCGGCAGGTTTTAAACGGACGATTAAAAACTGGTGCATGAGTGACATGCAGCGGCGTAATGAATGTGTGCACGCAATGCCTTCTTAAACATCATCCCTCATCGACAGACCGCTGAAATATTTATTCTCAAACAAGGATGAAAGCCACAATCTCAACGTCTGGTTCTTGTTCTTCATTCTAAAATGCGCTCGGGACAATCTTATGAATGTCAAAGGTGGTCGTGTGTCACTCGTCAATCGCCGACTGTGCTAATATTTATCCTGTGCTTTTCCACCTGAACAAACGTCCCAGTTACCACATCCGATTTGTAATAGTTCATTAAAAACATGTTCTGCTTGCTTATTTTCTGTTCTAGTTTTATATGTTGCATGTTATGATCACTTGAACATTATTTAACATTGGCGATACGATATAAGGTTTAGTCAGATCTACCTCTAGGCCCCTCTTACAAATAAAAGACAAATAAAATTAGAAATACTTCTGGTAACAATAAAAACAACCTGTTTATTGTACAAAGACGACGACACTATATCCCTAAAGAAATACAATTCCCTGACAGTACAAAGGGTTTGGATGCTCTTGAAGTCTTAAGTGTTGACAGCCTTAAATGTGGAGGAAGAATAATTGAATTTGAGTCCACCATCTAAACGTGATCCAGAATGTTGTTTGCCTTTGTTTGTTTCCTATTCTGTATTTGCTTTTAGCACGAGTCTTACATTACAACTAATTTAATTATCTTGTCTTACATTTTAGTGTTTACCAGAAAGGGAATGCTTTCACCTTTTCCCCCATTACTACTTTGTTTTTCATTATTATCAGAAATATCTACCATATGTATCATTTCAACCCTCAAATGAAGTTACTCAGTCAGTGTAAACCCAGAAAGAGTCGACTAGTTCGAGAGAATCATCTGGTGTTTACAGAGCCCTGTTATGTGTTCGTTTTTTGTGTTTGAATCTATTTTCCATGCTTGCATCACATTTATCTCTTAATTATCGTGCACAGTATTGTCATGTTTGCTTTCCCTCAGAAAGAGATTGATGTTACTGTCATCGTGTGAGTTTGTGAAGCGAGATGAATGTGTGAATTTGTTCGACATAACTATCACGAAAAGGCTTATTGTTATCGTTCTGTTGAATTAACAGTGGTTTGTGTAATTTAAGATTGATGTGTTCACCGAGGCCTGGCTGGGACATTTATTTCCTTTTTTTTTTTTTGTATTTATGAAATGTAATAAAATGTCACCTATATATAATATAAATATTCAAGAAATTTTGATTCAGTTTGTTGCACTTGTTTCTTCTGTACAGTATTAAAAATGTGTTTTTTTTCTGCAGGGATTTCATAGAAGATTCTTTTAGTGAACCATTTTTCTTCATACGAAGAACACTTGACGGAGTTAAAGAACCCTCTTTTGCTTCAAGGAACGGAATGGAAAGGTTCTGTGGATGTCTTTCTCGGTATTTCATTTTTCTAATTCAAATATCTGAACATTCTTAAATCAAGATACATTTATTTGAGATGCAAAATGAACGAAGTATTATTTTATAAATTGAGTTTATGCTTAAAACAAGTACAAATATCTGCCAATGGAGTATAATGTGTTTTCCTTTTCAAATGAAGTGTGTTTTTCTGAGCCCACTGGCAGATATTTGCTCTCTTAATTATAAACGCTTCATTTTGATGAATTTCTGATGAAGAGATCTGTGTGAAGTCATATTTTCAAACTCTGGAGTGTTGCTAATGGAACTCGTTTACATGACATAAGTGTTGCCTTAATTTGATTCCTTAAGTGTTCTTCACTAGATCTTAAAAAGTGTTACATTTACCTTCATAACACCTGCAGAACCCCTGATTCATAGAACCACGTGCCAATAAAGAGCCTTAATGTTATTCTATATTTTACAGTTCTACACTTTTACCACAGAAGAACCCCAAAGATTCTTTCCGTTCTTAAAAGAACCAGTTTTCTTAGTGTAAAGAACAATAAAAAAAAAATCTAAAGAACCTTTTTCCACAATATGCTGCATGGTACCTGTAGATTAACTTTATTTAGATGAACTTTTTTCCAATGCAAGTGTTCCATGGATGTCATATGTAACAATGAAGAACATTTATTTTAGTCTATATTGCTTAGTTCTTTTCTATTGTGGTATATTCTGTTTTATTCGGTTCCATTATATACTGCTTGTTCCATTGCTGTATTATAATTAGCCTATATACTTACCTAGTAGGCTGTTCTATTCTATTCAAGTTCCCAGCTGCATTTGTGTCTTTGCTTATTAATAAAACCGAGAGTGTGACGTCACAGCGCGAGTGTTTCGGAGGCGGTGACGTCATCGCGGTGACTGGGAGACCCGGTGATGTCACGTTAAGCAGGGAAGCCTCACGTGCCTCCGGTGCGCCCTGCATTATACCGAGCCCTAACGATCCGACACCGAGCGTCTTGTGATATTAACGCGTCCGGCGGGCTTCTTAAAGGCGCAGCGACACCTGCGTTTGTGCGTCACATCGAGGTTCCCCTCGCATCGCATCCAGCGCCGGAGCAGAAAAGCGGGGAAAATACTCGACGTTCGGCGGATGAACCGTGTTTGAGGTGTTGCGGGTTTTTCCTCGTCGCGTTCGGGTGGAGTCGAGCCACATACTGAGCCGTGACACACTTCAGGTGGGTGTTCTCACGCGCTATCTGCGCTGCTTACCTTCAACTGCGTTTCCTGTTCTGCTGAATTAGAACGTTTGTGCAACATTCGCTGCGAGTTTGTTACAATTCCGGCGTTCCTGGCGGGAACACGGCTTTACGGGTGACGGATGGATCCCGCAGGGTTTTTGGGGGAGTGATGCTGGAAGCACGGTCTCTTGGGCGTTTGAGTCCACCGCCTTTAAATCGAAACGATCGGCTGTGATGTGATAACAGATCGTTCACGAAATGGCCTTGGAGGAATAATAGTGTGTGTTTTTGCTGATTCTAGATTTCATGTCGCCTACAAATAATGAGCATTATGAAAGCTAAAACAGCTTTGGGTAAATATGGTTTATTTCTATGATGCTGAGTTGAGAAGCATGGTGTTCAATCAAATGCTCCAGTGCTTCTGGCCTGTATGCAGCATGACTGGTATGTAGGCTACATGAGCTTCATGTTCTGGTGGTGTTGCTGTGTGTGTAGTGATTTGTGTGTAAATCAGCTGCTCCTCTGACAGGTATTATTGCAGCTGTTACATCACACCATTGGCATAGACTTGAGAAATGTGATTGTTTGGTGCAAAACACACTGTACAGGATTTACAGTTCTGGAAAATTCACGGAAATTAATACAATCATAAAAAGTCGTGGGTTTTTACATTTTTGATAATGAACATATACACATCCGCACACCTGCCGTAAGTGAGAATGTGTAATGTTTCCTTCTGCTCACCAAGGCTTGATCGAAAAATCTGTAAAAAAATTACTAAATGTTTTTATAATTTATCATAACAGACTTTTGTTGTAATATCTGTTAAACTGTAATTTATTCCTGTGATGCGCAGCTGTATTTTCAGCATCATTGCTCCAGTCTTCAGTGTCACATGATCTTCAGAAATCAGTATAATATGCTGATCTGCTGCTCGAGACTCATTTCTGATTATTATCAATGTTGAAAACAGTTGTGCCGCACGATATTTTTTGTGGAAACTGTGATTGAATCATTCTTTGATGAATAGAACGTTCAAAAGCACAGCATTTACTTGAAATAGTTTTTTTAATTAATATTTTGAATAGAAAATCTTACTGACCACACATTTTTATTGGCGTGTGTGTGTGTGTGTGTATGTATGAGTCAAAAATCCTGTCACATGGTTACAGTAAAGTACTGTGGTAATACCATAGAACTTTTTCATTTATTTTGCCTTTTGCATTATTAAATGTTAACCCCTTGAGCATCTATGAGTTTGCATGAAGAACATAAAAACTCTTATTCTTTTTTGGCTAAGTGTCTATTAAGTTTTGTTTAGTAAACATTTTAGTGCTATATGATATATAGCCTACCATGCTACTGAATAATTACAGTCTTCACATACAATGGTATTTACTTGAAGGTGCTCATAAGAATACTGGTGCACCATCGTGAAGTCTTTGCTAGTGTAAGGTCTAATATTGTTGAAGTTTGACCTGCAGGAGTCAGCTGTGCTGTAATAATACAGAAGCAGCTCGCAGACTCTCCGTGTCTCATCTGGTGTGTGTTTTGTGTGCAGGACTCAATCATGAAGGACGGAATGGCTAATAACAGCACCGCCAGCATCTCTCAGGCCCGGAAAGCCGTGGAGCAGCTGAAGATGGAGGCCTGCATGGACAGGATAAAGGTCTGTGTGTTTTAAACTCACCAAAGTCACAAAATCGACCGTTTAATTCACTGAAAACATACGGGTTTTTATCACAAGTAAGAATCTTTTATAGAGTTTCCTCTTGTATGGAACAGTTTGAACTGAATTTAAACGAATGTTTGATTCATTTCTGTCCTAAAATAACAATTGAAGCTGCTATGGCAATAAAACACAACAATTGTGAATGATTAATCGGAGCATAATCATTTATTTTCACAGATAAGCTACTAATAAAAATTGTAGAAACTTAATTTTCTGATTTGTATCGTGAAAAGCGCTATTCAAATAAACTTGAATTGAATAAAATTTTAAGCTTGTATGACAATAAACTCAAATACAATGCAAACATATGTGACCCTGCAGCACAAAAGCAGTGTTAAGTCGCTGGGGTATATTTGTAGCAATAGCCAACAATACATTGTATGGGTCGAAATTATTGATTTTTCTTTTATGCCAAAAATCATTAGGATATTAAGCAAAGATCATGTTCCGTGAAGATATTTAGTAAATTTCCTACTGTAAATATATCAAAACTTCATTTTTGATTAGTAATATGCATTGCTAAGAACTTCATTTGAACAACTTTAAAGATGATTTTCTCAATATTTAGATTTGTTTTAACGTTGACTGTCATGTGGCCACTTAGTCCCGCCCCCAAACTCACGTGATTGGTTGAGTCAGAAGTTCTAGTCAGTCAGAATCTAGTGTCCCTTCATTAACCTTCTAAAACAATCATATTTAGGGTGCAGATTTGTGTTGTAAATCAATGGCCTGCTTACAACAAATCATATGCCATCATGCATGACGTGTTGACAGGAGCATCTGGAGATGTTTGCAGGGAGTTTGTTTTGTTATCTGCTCTAATGTGCCCAGAAGACTAAGCGAGCTCTTTAAGGAAGCGTAATGTAGCCATTAGCTGTAGTTGTGTGCGTCTGGCTGAGCGTTTAGCCTGTAAACCCGAGGGATGAGAGACGGAGCGAGCGTTTAGAGGAGCACGGGCTCAGCTGTGGCCTTTAGCTGCAAAGAGAGATGGATTGGACGGTTTCTCATCTTCCTGCAGATGGCAGATATATTCTGACTGACATCAGATACGACCTCTGCTTTTAACCACTGGGAAATATTTTGAGAAGCAATCTATAGGTAGACTGATTGTTTATTGATTCCCAATAGGACATCTACCAGTCTGTGTTTGAATCAACACACAAAAAACATTTTATAAGCATTGCAAAAATCCTAATGGAGTCTCTATTGCTGCGTTTAATATTAAAATCAACTAGAAATTACATTTACAACCTGTATTTACTCCTGATGTTTTTATGCATCTTTCCCAATAAGACTCATGGCTGTATTAGATCAAAAGGGTGTTTCTACTAAATACTGAGCAAAGGGTCTGAATACTTAGGACCATGTGTTATTTCAGTTTTTCTTTTTTAATAAATCTGCATAAATGTCAACAATTCTGTGTTTTTCTGTCGATATGGGGTGCTGTGTGTACATTAATGAGGAAAAAAAATTAACTTAAATGATTTTAGCAAATGGCTGCAATATAACAAAGAGTGAAAAATTTAAGGGGGTCTGAATACTTTCCGTACCCACTGTATAATTTCTTACATGCATGTGTTTTTGTGTGTATGTGTATATATGATATTATGAAGCGCCATACAGGAAATAATTATATAAAATGATTTTAATAGTTAACTAAAACCTTGAAAAAAAGCATTTTTGTTACACATTAACTGAAAAAAAATAAAACATTTACATATTTATACAATATTTAATTTTATTAAGTATTTTAAATGTTTATATAAAATTTTATTTTTTTCAACAGTTTTTATTTTCATGTCGCTTGATGTACTACAATAACTACAAATAAAAAATAAAACAAATAAAAATTATATAGACATAAAAAAAAATTGAATTGAAAAAAACTTTCTAAAATTAAAAATAACAAAAATGTCAAATGAAGCAAAAATTACAATAAAATATTGATAAACTATTATATTATTTCCATGATACTAAAATAACACTGATACACACACACATATGTGTGTATGATATGTTTTAAATATATTTTTATTTTATTAATAACTTGCATTGATGAATCATTCACAATAAGACCAAGCAAAATGTTTTAAGAAAGTAAACCGAGTTCATTTTGATTCATGTGATTGGAAGTTGTAAATAAGTGTCAGGATTGTGAATTGTCTTATTCTTTCTGTCCACTTTCTCATGTCGTAAGTTAACAAACAGATTCCCACAGGAATCAGTAGAAAGCTTCTCATCATCTGACCGCTGTGAGGCGTCTCATGCGCTCGTGTCTCGCGGCGTCTCGTCCTGGAGCTCGTTTATGTCCCGCTAAATAACACGATGTTTGTTTTCTCGCACAGCAAAAGGCATAGGATTTAACAGGATTGTGGGAAGTGAACTTTATTGTGACCTGCAGCGGTTTGAATGAACTATCAGTGATGCCGGACTCCCAAACAGCAGCAGTGAAACACAAAAAAAGATGCGCTTCTCTAAATCATATTGAGATGTTTCTGTGTGGACGAGAGCGAGTGGCCCGTTTGCTTGTGTTCATTAATTCCTCAATCACAGTGGAATGTGGTATGTGTTAATTAGTGAGGCTCGTTCATCAGCGGCTGGCGTGCTGTAATTACAGACTCCCAGCGGCCGGACGGAGCTCATGGATGCTCCTCTGTGAATGCTGTAATAGTCCATTAGCGCTCGACCTGACACTTCTACTCCTGTAAATCTACATGCTTTACCATGAAACTTAACAAATGACACTTTAAAACCAATTGTGTTTTAAGTTTGGAATAATTACGATTTTTATGTTTTTGAAGGAAGTCTATTCTTCTCACCAAGGTTGCATTTACTTGTCTAAAAATACAGTAAAAACAGTAAATCTGTCAAATATTATTACAATCTTAGCTGTATTTTCAGCATCATTCCTCCAGTCTTCAGTGTCACATGATCTTCAGAAATCATTCTAAGATGCTGATCTGCTGCTCAAGAAACATTTCTGATTATTGGCAATGTTGAAAACAGTCGTGCTGCACAATATTTTTGCGGAAATCATGAGACACTACCATTAAAAGAAGGTTTTAAGAAAAGAAAAAAAAATACTACTTTTATTCAGCTATTGACCAAAGGTGACAGTAATGTATGCAAACGATTTCTATTTCAAACAAATGCTGTTCTTTTTAACTTTCTATTTATCAAGGAATCCTGTAAAAATGTATCTATTTTTTCACAAAAATATTAAGCAGCAAAAACTGTTCAACATTGATAATAAAAACCATTATTAATAATAATTGATAATAACCAAATCAGCATATTAGAGTATTTTAATATATATAGATATATATATTTATATATACATACATATACATATACACACACACACCTGTATATATTAACCTAATCAAACCTTTCAAAAACACGCAGCAATGTGATTCTTTTATTGAGTGACAGGCAGTGACATTATTAATCGATTTACTATCCAGCGTCTTCTCGTCATCTCCGCGACCTGCTTCCCTTAGTGCTTTTACACAGAGAAAAGCAAAAAACCATACTAACAGAGACCACATTCTGTACACACCTTACTAATAAAGCATACTATATGATATGATAATTATGGCTGTGTGTGGCTCAGTGGTAGAGCATTGCGTTAGCAGCACAAAAGGTCATGGGTTCAATTCCCAGGGAACACATATACTGGTAAAAAATGTATAGCCTTGATTGCACTGTAAGTTGCTTTGGATAAAAGCGTAAATTTAATTAAATAATAAAAAAAAAATAAAAAAAAATATATATATAAGGTATTCCAATGTGTTTCAAGGAATTATTATGGTGTATGTCCAAAAACGTAGTAATGCTATGGTATATTTTGGTTCTTTCATATGCGTGAGAAGATGGGAAATGTAGTTTGTTTGCTCAGCGTGATGTTTGTGTTTTTGTACCGTCTGGCTGTGAGCGACACACACACCGCTGAAGCTCCTGATTCCCGTCCAACAGCTGCGTCTCTCTCATCATCAGCTCTTTACTGGACCATGTGCTCCTCCGAGAAACAACACAATACGAGTTATTCATAAAACATATACCACTGACTGCATCACTGAATTATTCATTCAAGTTATAGTTTCATATCAGTTTTTACAAAGTTTCTGACCTTCGACATTCTGTATTGAAAATATTATTATAAGTAATATCAAACATTATATTATTTTTGTATTACTGATAAATTACCGTGTACTTACCTAAGAATAATATTTCAGCAAAAATGTGTTTTCTATCAGTTGTTTAGAATCAGAACTAGCGATTCTAGATTCATTTTTTTGATTTGATTATTTTTGTTTCGGTCAAACGTGTGTTTAGAAATGGTTCATGATTGGGTTTGATTCATTCGGACCATGAGAAAGTGAATCGAAATCTGGTTGCACAACATAAGTAAGCTTGTAAAATATTAATACAGTGAACCAGAAGCACAAAGATATCAATATAGCCGCATTTAGGATTCAAAAGAATTATCGGTCTTCCTAAAAGCTTGAAATGGTTGAGGTATAATCCACAACACTTAATTTACTTTCCTTTTTCTCCTTCGTAAAAAATTTTTTATTCCAACTTTAAGTTTGAGCTGTATGCATTATTTGAATGAAAAAATTCTATTGAGTTCTATTGAGATTAACTACTGAGTTTAGGGCAGTATTTTGAAAAATGTCACCATTGTATGTCAATCATGCTGTAACTCCGATCATCATTCTGAGTGAAAACCTGGACAATGCAGTATGTTTTTTCGCCTGTTCTCGGTGTAAAAGCACTAAGGGAAGCAGGTCGCGGAGATGATGAGAAGGCGCCGGATAGTAAATCTATTAATAGTGATGCACCGAAATGAAAATTCTTGGCCGAAGCCGAACAAAATGAAACACTGGGTCGAAGGCCAAATACCGAACACGGTTTTTCAAATTTTTTCCCCATGTATTTTGCCACTTTTTTTCACCATTGCATAAATTAAATACCCAACGTTTGCTTTTTACTCTTTTGTCTTGTTTTTACATTTTTTTTTTTAAATTACAAAACAACAATTTAAAAATATTTACTTAACACTTTTTTAACGTTCTTGCAGACATTATACCAACAAAGCACAAATAATTTTTTTTTACTGCACCAATAAATGCAGCCTGGCTGAGCAAAAGATAATTTTTTAAAAACATATTTCAGATCCCACAGATACAAATCTAATAGAGATTTGAACACTATATGTGAAATGTTAGGCTATAATAAATGTATTAATATAGTTGTTGTACTTATTATTATTATTATTATTATTGTCTTACTTTTTATTTTATTTTACAGAACAACAGTAAAATTACAATACTAGCATTTATGAATGTTAATTGAGCTTTTATTTTGGCAGAAGCCCCCAGAAAGTCTTCAGTGCTTCTTTTTGTTGACCACAGCAGATTTATAAATGACTCTCATTAAAGGGGTCATATGATGCTGCTAAAAAGAACATTATTTTGTGTATTTGGTGTAATGAAATGTGTTTATGCGGTTTAAGGTTCAAAAACACATTATTTTCCACATACTGTACATTATTGTTTCTCCTCTATGCCCCGCCTTTCTGAAACGCGTCGATTTTTACAAAGCTCATCGGTCTGAAAAGCGAGGTGTGCTGTGATTGGCCAGCTATCCAGTGCGTTGTGATTGGCCGAATACCTCAAGCGTGTGACGGAAATGTTACGCCCCTCACCATACTGTGATGATGCCCTGTCCGGCCGGAGCGACGAGACAAACACATTAAAACCCATTATAAACGAGGCATTTGTTGCATCCAGTGGGGACATAATTACTGATTATAATGACTTATACTGTCTTTTTACGCTTTGCGTTGCATTGCGCCGCGTAAACCTAAAACCATGTCTGCATTTGTGATCTGAGAAATGACAAACAAGTGCTACTCTACACTGCTCAAAACTCACGTTTGAATCGTCAGTGGCAAATTCTTTAAATATAAAAACATACTTACAGTCTGTGAGTCAGAACAGCCGGCATTGTAGTCTACTCTCCCAGGATCAGGAAACAGTCCTCCATAAAATGTGCTGCACACATCTGAATATTTGGGTTGAAGTGTTCTGGAACAGTGTTGTAAATACAACTTAACCACTGATTTCTAGTCGTGTTCTCTTTCGGAAGACCAAACAAAGTAGTTTCGCTTTCACAACGAAACACACGGCGGCCTACAGTGAGCAGAGGCGGCGGATTCGACAAAGGAGCGTCCGGCAGGCTTGCGGCAACCACATGTGACGAAATACACGATGACAATAATATACCCAATGACCTGAAGGATCATGTGTGTTCATTCAAAGAAAGGTTTTCCTATTAATTAATTAGCAAAGAAAAGTCCTTCCCTTGTGGATTTTCCTTATGGGCAAGGAAGCGATTTTCTTCACCTAAATTCCAGGAGGTCGTAAATGTATCGGGTGTCAGCATTGCTTATGGAACCGGGGGCCTGTTCAGCTTCCTGGGGTGTTACAGAGTATTTGTTAAATCTAGCTAACAAAATATATATTGTGTGTTTGAGACACTACAGATGTTTGCTCTACGTATCACATTGTCACATCCCCATGCCTTGTAAAAATTCATCAAAATGTTACTGAGCAGCTGAGTAACAGTTTCGCTTTGGACTTTGAACCCTGGAGCCGCGAGCTCGTGCAGCGCTGTTTGAATACTTGCAATTCATGCGTGTATTAGAAAACGTGCTGCGTCCCAATGTGCCTACTTATACTACGCCCCTAAAGTATGTACTCTTTTGGTGAAGAAAAAGTACACACTTTTGAGTGTGTAGTAGAAGAGTAGGCAAGCTTTGGGACATACTAGAACATACAGTTGCGTGTTTAACGGTCCGCTCTGTCTCATAATTACACGCACCCTGTCACTGTAAACTGGTCTGTCAATCATCTTGTCACAGTTAACATCCTCCACATTTCATTTCATTTAACTACCTACTGTACTGGAGAGAAATGAAGTAGCTCGTTGATCTGCCAGCCGTGGGTCTTTATGCTGAGAACTCGGCTCAGATTTTTTGCATATAATGATGCATTTAAAAGTTAACGACCAAACGGTTGTTTATAAAAGTTCACATTGTTGTTGTAGATGAAATATCCTAACACAGATAACATTAAATTACATTTTTTTTAACAGGTTAAATGTTGATTATTAGTAACTCAAACCCTTTATCTAAACCTCTCTACTTAACTGTAGGTCGCGCACATACTCCATGTTTGTAGTTTTTTTGTAAAGTTTTTTTTATTCGTGTTCGTAGTTCTGAACCGAATCATTCGTCAAAGCGCAATGGATTGTGGGCAATATTAGCAATCAGAGTGTGCACGGATCCACACTTCAAAAATCGACCTGAAATAGTAGACCATCCGGGGACTTTTGGCATACTCTTTTCAACATACTATGCTTTGGGACACACTTATTCTAATCTCGCATACTATTTAGGATGGATAGTGTGAACATTAATTATAGGGATAATCGTTTGAGGCCATTTTGCGATTTCAATCATCATACAGTAGCCAGCAACAACCACCCCTTTATCTTCTTATCGGAGACATGTGATGCAGATGCAGCACTAAGCAGTCTCTCGCTGTCGGTGCTTGTAATGATTTTTGTGTCTTTCTCCAGTAGCCCCTCACTGCAGAACACAAGATCCAGAGGGCGAGCTTGGATCCACATCTAGGGGGTGCCGACATGTTTGCTGAATTAATGCACGCCTCTATTTGATCGCATCGCCTCACGTCATTATTGTTCGGTACAATAAATTCTGTCTTTTTTCGCTTATTCGGTTACCGAACATTCGGTGCATCCTTATCTGTTAATAATGTCACTGATTAAACCCACTGCCTGTCTCTCAAAAAAAGAATCATATTGCTGCGTGTTTTTGAAAGGTTTGATTCTATTTGGTTTAACAATTAACATCACCTTTGCGAGTATGGCTCTCACTCGGCTTATGAATTAGCAGAACTTGAACAGGCACATAAAACACTCAACACAAATAATGCTTCATGAATAACTGAATAATAAATTAATAGTTTGTATTTTTATCAGACTTTTTAAGATCAGAAAGAGGCTGTGTGTTTGTGTGCTTCACTCTGGCAGTTTTAGGCCAACATTCTACAAAGGGGCCTAGAAATAGCAGTGAACACAATGGACTGTGATAAATGTCATGCTTTGGCATGTTTATTCAGCATGACATTTGCAGACTAAAATCGTCCTCTTTCAAACTTCTATATTAAACTGAATATTTACGTACAACAGTCAGCCAATGCTGTAAAAACATGAGCCAGTGCTGTTTTCTCCGAGTCTGTGGACTCAGTCTGTCGCTCTGCTTTGGCTGCTGATGGAGCCGCAGACGAGGAGGAGAGCAGAGGAGAGCAGATACTGATGCTCGTTAGCTCACTGATCACTTATCAGTTATTAGAATAGAGATGGTCAGTTCTAGAGCTAAGCACAGATGAGTTTCATGTGTGTTAGTTTGCTGAACTACAGTGTCCTGCATGATCCGAAGCATTGTAATGTGATATGGGGGGAGAGTCATAGGAATATTGTTTTTATTATAATAATAATGTTTACCTTTGATATCAAAAACTAGCAGTAAAAATTAGGATTTTTTTTTTAAACTCCGCTCACCAAGGCTGCATTTGTTTGATTATAAATACAGTTAAAACCGTAATATTGTGAAATATTGTTACCATTTAAAATAACTGTTTTCAAATTGAATATATGTAAAAATGTCATTTATTTATGAGAAATTTTCAGCATTTTTCCCTCCAGACTTCCATTGTCACACGATTCTTCCGAAATCTTTTATGGAAAATAAAATATTAAATATTTTTGTGGAAACCATGATACAAGGTACTTTTATTCAGCAAGGACACATTTAAGAAAGTAACAGTGAGAGTAAAGACATTTATAATGTTACAAAAGATTTCCATTTCAAATAAATGTTGTTCTTTTGAACTTTTTATTCATATTTCCACAACAGTATTAGGCAGCACAATTGTTTTCAGCATTGATAATATAATCATAAATGTTTCTTGAGCAGCAAATTAGAATTGTTTCTGAAGGATCATGTGACACTGAAGACAAACTCAGCTTTGATCACAGGAATAAATTATCTTTGAACAGATATTCACATAGAAAACTATGTTTTAAATTGTAAAAAATATTTCAGTATTTTTACTGTATTTTGATTAAATAAATGCAACCTTGGCGAGCAGAAGAGACTTCTTTCAAAATCTATGCCATATCTAAACCCCTAACTCTGTCCTCAGGTGTCCAAGGCCGCGGCGGACCTGATGGCGTACTGTGACGCTCATATACGAGAGGACCCGCTCATCGTGCCTGTCCCGGCCTCAGAAAACCCGTTCCGGGAGAAGAAGTTCTTCTGCACCATCCTCTGAGGCCGGGCCGGGCTGCAGGTTCTGCCGTGAGGTTTCCACGTCCCTGGCTGCTGCCGCTGAGCTGTGTTTGAGTGGCAGCGCCGCATCTGTTGACGGTCCGATCCCTCCCGGACGCCTGTGGGGGTTTTTTTGGGGGGGGGGGTCAATTAACTGGCAACCCGGTCAGAGCGTCTCATGTCTCGTTAAATAGGTTTGTTATTACTTGGTAATTAGAGAACAGCCTTTCTCACTGCTTATGAGATGAGAGATTTTTGTGTTTTCGTTTAGTTTTGACTCATGTGTCGTGCCACAGAGGATGTGAAACCCTGACGGGTGGATGTTTTCTAATGTATTTAGACGTTTTTTTAAACTTCAGCTATTTGATATGCATCACTGGTCAAATGTTTGGACACACTTGAGCGAATCTTCAAAAAAAGCAGAGGACAAAAACAACAGAACTCAATATTTAACAATCGTTAGCTATGCATCCATGCGTTAATTATATTGATGGAAATATATGTCAAATCATACAGTGGTCATGAAGTCATAAACACAATCCATTTTTCCTGCTATTGCAAATATTTATTCGTCCATAGATTTAATAAAAAAGTAATTCTCTCCGTGTCTTGAATGATTGAAATTAGTTGTTGACAAATTGTGACTTTGTATGAATTTGTTTACAAAACTGGAATTCGATTAAATCATTTTAAAACTTGAATTTGATTGATGAATGTCCAAAACAAGAAGCTCAAATCTAAGAGAGATTTCATTTGCGTTGCATGTTTTAGTCTCTACATTATTCCCAGACTCCCATTTGTTTTATTTCATAGGTTTCATGACTATTGTCTGTTTTTGAATATCAGTCGTAATAAAAAATAATGCATCCGCCCTTTGACTTTGATCTGTATTTAGATATAATTATTTTATTAAACTTCTCCTTTTTATTCAGTAAGGAGTCATTGCTGCTGAAAATTCAGCTTTGCATCGCAGGAATAAATTACATTTTAAAATATTTTCAAATAGAATCAGTTGTTTTCAATTCTAATAATATTTTACTGTATCTTTGATCAAATAAATGCCTTCTTGGTGAGCGTAAGAAATAATAGTCGTAATAAAGAACGAGCAGATGTGTCCAAACCTTTGACTTGTAGTGCATCTGTAATGCATTTCCATTTGAATGATTTCCCATCTCTCCCCATTTTCCGGTATGATGATATTTGAGATATTTTTAATCCGCTTATGTGAATCAAATCTTATCCAGTTTCCAAATTACATTGTGATAAACCGAACCGGATACCTCTGAGAAGGCCTCCTCCACATTTGTGATAGGAACACAGCGTTCAGACCTGAGATATTGAATCTGAATCAGTTCAGTTTGAACTCAAACATTCGACAGTAATCCTCATGATGGCTTCTGGGATGCGTTTGCCCTCAAGGTGTTGCGTTGTGCGTCTGTATGAGGTCTCGACTGTACAGAGGTATTTTCTGCCCCATCTGACATAAAATCCAGCGGGACGGGAGTTATTATTTTCCTCTTTATCACAAAGTTATTTGGAGATTTCACCTTCGTACAGACAATATTCAAAGCTGAAGTGTGTCATTTCGCAATTGCAAACCATTCTAATGGTCTGAAGTCAGAGTGTTGTGCTGTGTTGGGAAATCAACCTACAGATGGCTCACTTATAAGTGACTCTACACATTAAATGTGAATTTTAAATAAATAGTTCATCCAAAAATGAACATATGCCTATAATTTACCCTCCCCCTCAGGCCATTGAAGATTAGGATGAGTTTGTCTCTTCATCAGATTTGGAGAAATGTAGCATTGCATCAGTGTCTCAGCAACGGATGCTCTGCAGTGAATGGGTGCCGTCAGAATGAGAGTCCAGACAGCTTATAAAAACATCACAATAATCCACAGCACTCCAGTCCATCAGTTAACATCCGGAGAAGACAAAAGCTGAAACAAATCCAGCTTTAAGACGTTTTTAACTTCAAAACCATCGCTTCCTGTTAAAATATGGGTCTATATTCCATAGTAACGCTTCCTCCAGTGAAAAAGTCCATCTGCTGTTGTCTCTCACATCAAAATCCAGCCACATATTTGTTTCGAGCTGTTTTGGCTTGATCTGTGCAGATTTCTCTCCTGTTTCAGCTTTTGTCTTCTCCAGATGTTCACTGATGGACGGGAGTGGTGTGGATTACTTGTGGATTATTGTGATGTTTTTATCAGCTGTTTGGACTCTCATTCTGACGGCACCCATTCACTTGCAGTGAGCAAGTGATTCAATGCTACATTTCTCCAAATCTGAAGAAGAAACAAACTCATCCTGATCTTAGATGGCCTGAGGATGTGTAATTTTTCAGCAAATGTTCATTTTTGCCTGAACTATTCCTTGAATATAAAAGAAATGACACGCATCACCTTTAAATTTAGTCCGAGTTAGATTTAAATTACCTTTTTATTCAATGAAAAGATCTTCCCACATGCAAACAGGCAGATTCTTTCCTCAAATCACCTCCCTGCTAATGATTTCTTCACACTTGCTGAATGGCCTTACTAACACGGGCATGTTTCACAATAGTTTTAGAGTTGTTTTGCTTGTCCTGATTTAAACAGCAAGGCCTTTGACTGAAATGCCAAACGGAGAGCCTGCATGCGTGTGTGTGTGTGTGTGCGTGTGTGCGTGTGTGTGTGAGTGTGTGTGTGTATGTATAGAGAGGTGGTTTCTGAGTGCCAAGTACTGTGACTACGGCGTGTCCTCTACACTGTTATTTCACAGGCTTTTTCCTATTCAAAACAAAGAAACAAAAAAAGCACAATGTCAAATGTTTTTCTGTATATCTCTGTAATTTTAGTCTAGCCTTTGCTAGTTTATACGAAACCAAGTGTTGTTATATCTAATGCGCAGCACCTGATGGAGGTGTTGCTTGTGTAACCTGTATTAAAGCCCCTTTAACGTGTGCCACGGTGGACGGAGGGTCTTTCTGACTCTCAAACGTATCTTATATCTGAAGATCCTCCTCGAAAAGTGCACAGATGTATATTCGAAATGCTATCGTTGCATGAGATCGCCTTTAAATTCATGGAAAGCAAAGAGTGTGTCTGTACGGTGGGTATTTAAAATGATATTGTGTTCTAAACGTTTAATATTTACTTTTATAATAGCACTAATGCTCCATGTGTTCAGTGAGAGTGAGGGTTTGTTGGGTTTCCAAGCGAGTCCAGCTGATTTCTAACAATTAAACCCCAACATGTAAAATAACTTTTAAATAATATTATGATTGTTATTATAAAAACATAACTTGCATGAACCGATTACCCTATTTAAGTATTAGAACTTTGAGATACCTTGTAATTGAATCGATGCCTAAATGTATGGATTTGTTGGTGCTTTTCTGCACTTTTCTCTTTTAGAAGTCTGAATGTTTAGATCTGTGCAGTTGTACAAATTAATAAACATTTTAAAACTGTCTGCATTCAAAATTTAGTGTGCTTGCTTGCATTCTAAGAATGATATGCTTGATTTAATATGTTTGCTCTGACAATAACATACAAGTTTATAATATTGTGTTCAAGGGAGACACCTAGCGGTGCAACAGAGTATCGCACACTATATTTGTGTGATTATGAAATAATTACAAGACAGATTCACGACAACACTGTTTATGTACACTATATATTTGACCCAAGAAAATTAGCACATTAATTATATATACATTATCCGATAACATTAAGTGATTTCAGAAAAAAAAACTATTTGAAATAGATACTGTTCTATTTACATTTACATTTAAATTAAGTCATTTACAAATGAGGACCATAGAAGCAATCAAGACCACTTTTTATTGTTAAGAAGGAAAGTCAATCGCTAATTTGACACAACCTTCATGGCAACAGGAAACTGATTGAACTACATTTCCCAGAAGGCACCGCGCGTCGACCGCTCCACTCCTATTGGCTGCCCGAGTGCTGTCGTCATCAGCGTGCAGTTAGACATGACGCGGCGCGTCGGACACTCATCACATCAGCGATGCGCGTCGCGTCGAGTCGGCGGTCCGCTCGTTGTGTGCGCAGCCCGTTAAGCGTCGGTGTCCGGACCCAGCGGTTCGTCCATGAGAAGCGCAGCAGCGGCGCTGTTAGCGTGTGTCTTCGCGGCGCTGCTTCACTGGCTCGGCTGGACCGACAGAACTGCGCTCCTGCTGGGCTTCGGCTCTGCAGGTACCGCTCAACTTCTGCTGCTTTCTCTTCCTCTCTATTAGTCTGCTGTTTAGACGGAGGCTGAATGCATGCAGTGGATTCATAGACAATGCATATCAATTCTTACTACTCTGATGCATATAAATATATGATTAATGCATGTAGAAACTTGGTGATCAGTTTATACAGAGCATTGCTACTGAATATATAAATATGCTAATGCATAAAGTACTCTTTGAATTTTCTCACTTCATATAGAAAAAATAACCCACTTAGAACATATATATATATAATGCATAGACCATTAATGAAAATCATAGACAATTTCAACGCTGAGTGCATGTAGAATGCATTAAAAAAATCAATGCATAGTGATCCATGCATAAAAAGCATTATAATGTTTTTTTTTATTAATGATTAATAATTCATATTATTTGCTCATAGGACATTAATGCTAAATTCCAATAGAAAAATGAATGCATACAGAACATAGTTGCTCATTTTATATAGAGCACATATAATTTTTTATGTATGTTAAAGTTCCTTATGCATTCAGTATTAATAGTCTATATATATATATGTATCTATCTAATCTATCTATCTATCTAATATCATTTATAGACCATTCATTTTCAATGTAAATGCATATGGGACTTTAATGATCAATGCATAAAGAATATTAACACTCAGTTCTTATAGAACGATTAATGCTTAACATAAGAGGGAAGAAAACGTAAGCTATTAATAAGATTAGTATTGAGCAAGTTCAGAGGCTGTCACATGTGGATCGACTTACTTTGTTGTGTATTTTCAACCGTTTCAATATGAAAAAAGAATCAGTTTTTATAATAAATCTTTGACAATCAAAATCTGGATTTAAATTTTTAATGCTATTATAACCTAAAGATGCTATGTGAACGTTTGAAACTGAAATTACTGATTTTCATCTTGCCACTTTCTTGGAAAAGAAATCACATTTTTACTCAAATTAATCAAAATGGATTTATAGCGTTTCGGAACCAAACTCTTCATATATATACAGTATATATATATATATATATATATATATATATATATATAAAGAGAGAGAGAGAATTATAGAATATATAAAATTATTGCTGCTTAATGTATAATATAATGTATAGACCCTTAATGCTCAGTGCATATAGAACTTGAATGTTAACTGCATGCATATGAGCATTAATACTGAATGCATTGATCATTGCACTTTAATGATCTATAAGCATGTTGAACAGTTTGCAGCGATTTACTTATAATATCACCAATGTGCTCTGCTGGGGGGTTGAGTTGTGACATTAATGCATTAGATGACGGCTGCATTAGTGTGCTGTGCACGCGGATGCCGGCAGCTTGTAAACCACAGAGATCGGATTGAAGAAAGTATCGGATTGAACCTGAAGTTGTGTACAATAGAAGAGAGACTGTAGAAAGTATCTGAGATCTCACTGAACTCTGGGAGAGTTTACCTGGCAACAAAGGCACAGATGCGCATTACACACTTGCTCTGATGTTTGTCACACATGGTGGAATAGGACACAAGTGACAATCCATTAGGGGATACAAAGGGCCGCTGCCAGAGACTTTCATCTCGCTGCATCATCTGTTCTGTGTGTGAGCCTTCAACCTGCCGGAAAAGCCTTTATAAAGGAATAGTTCACCCAGAAATAAACATTTGCTGAAAATACACATCCTAGATGTAGATGAGTTTGTCTCTTCATCAGATTTGGAGAAATGTAGCACTGCATCAGTGTCTCAGCAATGGATGCTCTGCAGTGAATGGGTGCCGTCAGAATGAGAGTCCAAACAGCTGATAAAAACATCACAATAATCCACAAGTAATCCACAGCACTCCAGTCCATCAGTTAACATCTGGAGAAGACAAAAGCTGAAACTAATCCAGCATTAAGACGTTTTTAACTAAAATCTGAGTCCATAATCCATAATAATGCTTCCTCCAGTGAAAAAGTGTTCTGGTGTGAATCAGGAGAGAAATCTGCACAGATCAAGCAGCTTTAAACAGCTCTAAACACATATGGCTGGATTTTGATGTGAGAGACAACAGCAGATGCACTTTTTCACTGGAGGAAGTGTTATTATGGATTATGGACTCCTATTTTAGCTAAAAAAAAACATCTTAATGCTGGATTTGTTTCAGCTTTTGTCTTCTCCAGATGTTCACTGATGGACTGGAGTGCTGTGGATTATTGTGATGTTTTTATCAGCTGTTTGGACTCTCATTCTGACGGCACCCATTCACTGCAGAGCATCCATTGCTGAGACACTGATGCAGTGCTACATTTCTCCAAATCTGTTCCCATGAAGAAACTTGGATGGCCTGAGGGTGAATAAAAACATTTTCAGCATATGTTCATGTTTGTATGAACTTCTTTTAAAAAGGCTTTTTGCATGTTTGAATCATTTGCAGCATTGGAGAATACCATTAGGCTCTGTTTTGGTGCTGATTATTGTGTTTCTGTTCAATATTGTATTGACAGACAACCAGAAGGCAGTGCATGAGGTGTTGGTGGGTGTTTTGTCAGCGCGGCATCATCATGAGCTCCGGCAGGCCATAAGAGACACATGGCTGGGGTACCTTAAACACCACCCTCACTTCCAGAAACGGTCGGTACTGAATGTGAATCTTTCCATTTCTGCTTCATTAAAACTCTCACTTCTGACAGACATCGATTCATTTCAGAAGATTAGGCTCATGTTATTGACTTTAAAAATGGACTGCTTGATCTGAGGGGTTTTTTGCTGTTTGTTTTGGCCTGCAACTTTATCGAGCCTTATGAAAATCCTTATAAATATTCCACGTTTAAAGATCGTTCAGGCAAATGCTCATTAAAATAGGTCAAACATGATTTAATGTTCGAATCACAGCCCAGCGCCGCAGCAAATCAATTCTGCACAGTTTTATTATGAGTAAATGAATATGTTTGAAAGCACGCTGCATGTTCTCATCAAAAGCTGCGATATTATACATTGGATGTTTGAAGGCCACAGCTTTTAGAGCAAAAAGAACATAACATTTATTTCTAAGGGTCAGAGAGTGGGTGGAAAATGATGGAAAAGATCAAATATGACAGTTTATTGCAGCCAAAAAATACTAACTATATACTAGTGCTGTCAAACGATTAATTGCGATTAATCGCATCCAAAATAAAAGTTTTTGTTTGCATAATACATGTGTGTGTACTGTGTATATTTATTATGTATATATAAATACACACACATGCATGTATGTATTTCAGAAAAATGTGTTATGTTTTAATATTGAATATATTTATATATAATATAAATTATGTGAATATAAATATATACATGCAAATATTTTTTTTAATATATCGTTATAATATAGTTTGACAGCACTACTTATATATATAAATTAAATTATGCGTGCATGTGTATGTATTTATATGTATATGTTTAATATTTATATTTATTATATGTGTTTTTTTTTGTTTTTTTTTATATAGATTGTATATAGTTGTTTATTTTCTTTATATGACAATTAGGGGTATGTGATAAACCAAAAATTAAACAAATAAATAAAACAAGAAATGCATTATGTTATTGTATGGTCTATTAATTTAATAACCATGTGGGTTATAAAGTGGTTGTAAAATAATGATGAAAAAAAGCTAAAACAATTTTTTGCAGCACAAAAATACTAAAAAATAACATCTATTTTAAATAATAATAATTATTAGTATGATTAAATGTCTTATTTTAATAGCCATGTGCTTATGCATACAGCATAATCTGGTTAATAAATGACTGCAAAAATCAAGTTTATAATTTGATTTAATCGAAATCAATGGACACAAATCAAAAGATCAGATAATGAATAACAAATAAATGATCAGTGAAAAAACAGCTTTCCATTATGACTGACTTGAGACCTAAACACAAGACTCGTTAATACAGTCATTAATATTGTAAAACACACTCTAAATTCAGCAAACTGCTGTAAAATAGCCCATATACACACATCTGTGATGCACATCTGTATTGATGCAGCAGATTGTGATGTTGCTCGGCAGCCGTGAACAATTAAATCACACTTACTAAGCCGTCAGAACTGAGAACGAAGCATTGATGTTGTCTGCTGGTGTATTTGAAAGGGTGATGGTGAAATTCATCATTGGTGAGCATGGCTGTTCTGTGCCGGAGGAAGATCGTGAAGACCCGTATTCCTGCTCGCTGCTGAACCTCACAGAGACAGGTGAATTCATCTCACAAACACCGCTCTGGTTAAGCTTTGCTGCAGTTTGCACGTTTCGATTCTCATCAGACCCCCCGCTCGGACATGAATCTCGCCGTATGTGGCCTGAAATCACAGTGTGCACTCGGATTCTCTTCTAAGTAGTCAGCATGTTTTTGTTTCCAGCAGGTTTCAGTGGGCTGAAATATTCTGCATTTTCGTGGTTTAGCCACATCTTCGTCATCATCTTCATCAGTTCATTTGAAATTGAATATTTAAAAAATTCCAACTTTTTCAGTGGAACACCGAAGAAAGTTTTTGAAGAATTTAAAAAGTAACAGGGCTATCAAGTGATTAAAATGTTTAATCTAATTAATTAGGTGATGGGCTGATTCATTTATTGAATTAATTGCAAATTAATTGCACGTCCATTTGGCCTGAGACATTACCCCTCCAAAAGATAGTCATTATTGTGTGAAAAGCATTCAATAAACATTACAAAACAGTAGCTTTAGAAAGATATATTTTGATTCAACATAGAATTTATTGCTTAGAAATGTACAAAAAAGTGTCACAAAACATTGGCTAAAATATATATATTAGGGCTGTCAACCGATTAAATGTGCTATCATTAGTAATTTCTTTATTTGTTCTTATTTTATTATTAGCTGCTTAGCCTCCTTGTCATTTTTTATTCAATTCAAAGTTTTAAATCAATCTCGTGCTACTGCACCAAAATGACCCCAGCTGTAAAATCAAAAATACACTGAGTGAGCAAAACTTTCATTATCATTATAAGTAGCTATCTCACAATGTTTACATATGAATAAAAGCCTACATTGAAATCTGTCATATAAATTGGTCTCTTCATTAGAAATTAGCCTACTGATTGCCACCATTGATAGACACATTTTTTTAAATAAT